TTCCACCAAGGAGCCCAAAGACAGGGGGACCCAGCCAGTGATTTCAGCCAGGGAAAGGGGACACGCAGGGGGAGCGATAGGCAAGAGCCTGACTAGGGGAGCAGGACACAACTACAGAGCAGAAGAAAACCTAAGTGTGCAGCTTGCCCTAGTCTTGCCTTGCAGGTGTTTTCCCTGCCTCTTTCCCATGAACATCTCACTGTTCGTCAACAGAGCTCCGAACAAAAGCCCACCAGGGTCAGCTGTTGCCACCTCAAATTATTCACTCACTTGGTACCTGCAGCCCATCTGGGAACAAAAAAAACCCAAAAAAGTCTTGTTTTAGGAAAAAGGCTGTCGTAAAAGCCAGGCAATGGGTACATGCTACACTTTGGTAGTCCTAATTTTAACATAGCCCTAACTTAGAATCATCAACCACTCTCTATTCCACACAGGAGCTTTCTTCTTCCAAGTCTCACCTAATAGAGCAATGCTGTGACTGCTTCCTCCTGTCCCATTTGCCAATAAACATCTGTTTCATACAAATACTCGCACATGAGCAGGTATTCAAAATTGTATCCTGCTTTTTTCTCTTCACATTCGCTTCCTGATTTTTTTTTTGTATTCACATGTGTTTTCCATTTATTCTAGCCCTTTATCCCCAACACATGCTCTGAGTCCCCAGCTTCCACATTCTTCTTTAACCCTTTAAACTGAAAGACTTTTCTCAATGGGATCAAACATCTGGTGGGTGATCCTCATGCAGATTTCCATACTTCTTTTGTTTCTCATCTTGCCAACAGATCAGTTTTGATAGATAGTGAAGCCACTGGAAAGGAGTCTCTATCTGTGGCATACAAAGTATTTCCAAAATATATAAAGGAAAGGATAAAAATTTATGAGGTCTATGTAGAAAAGCTGCCTTCCCCATTTTATTTTTTTGTTCTGTGTACTTTTAAAACTTTCATTTATGTAATACTCTTTCATGTACTGCATCCCATAGGATGCGAATAGGTTCATGATTTAATAGATAATCATTTCCTTTTTGCTTTTACCCACTTTATACAAAAACAGCCAGCTCTGCTGACAGAAAGATGAAGTAAAATATAAAGATTTCATTTTCCTCCAGAGACAAAAAGCTGACAATTATTCAAATTGTATTATATCAAATACTCAGGAAGGGTACAGGAGATATTGATTTTATTGTCTATACAGCACACTGTCTCAGATTAACTCAGTTGTCCCAAATACTGACCCATTTCTGCTTTTCCAGAGGTACTCAGTCCTCAGCAATCCTCTCAAGCTTCCTCTGCACTGATGGTGATGGTGAAAATGATTGAGAGTGACAGGGAAGGGAGCAAAGGGCACGTAGGTTTTCTCTTACTGAAGTCACAGAAAGTGCTCATGGTCCTCTTCTACTACCTGGGCTGTTCCCTTTAAGAAATAGAGATCTTCCCAAAGAAAACAAGCCTTTCTCTTTGGGTGTTTGTTTTAAGCCAGCTATTGAGAGTACCAGTGCTGTGTCCATATACTCATTTAGACTTGGACCATTTATAACGGACCCAGCCATTATAAATGGCTAATACTCAAGACTGAAAATTTAGATAAACATGCTGTAAAAGCTAGCTAATCTATCATTCTTCTTCATGAGTGGATCATCTCTTTTAAAGACTTCCTTTATGCTACTGACTCAAACTGCTTAGTGATGCTTATTTAAGTCTAGTTCTGGGTAACACTCTTATGCTGTACAACTTTTGTACAAAATAGAAACAATTCATCATCCAGAATAAACACTTTTTCAGTCTAATTTTCAGCTTAGTTGACAGCAATCATATTTTTCAGTTATATACATCCATTTATACTCACTTGATTAGAGAGAAATTTTGTTTGAACAAAACACTTTGAACATTCAAACCCTGCAGACATATTTCCTGTAAAAATGTGATAAATAAGATGCTAAACCACAAAATCCTAGGGCCATGCTGTACAGATTGAAAAAACACAATCCTGCAGACTCACAACAGCCCTCCCTGCATAGACTGACCCTTTGTTTTCAAAGTCCAACTTATGTTAAACATGCACTGTCTACACACAGATTCTCAGCCAAGGATGTATTTTGAAGTACAAAGTCACATAGTTTCACACTTTTGTGTTGAAAATGCCATAGCCCAAGAAATAAAGCTGATGGTTCGACTCATAAGAGACAAGAAGCCTTTTATAACCACTTACAAATGGTTTGACGTTTCCCTCAGACAACAAGCAGTCATTTACTGGTACATGAGATTACCATGAAACAAGTCTGAATGTCACCCACCGTGAATAACACATTTAACACATTTCAAGAACTTTCTGTTAATTCAAAATCATGCCTGAAATAAAAAACCCGTGACATTTTACATATTTTAAGAAAACAGCCATGCATAACCCCCACGGAACTCACAACCATGCATCAAACAACAAACATAACAAACATAGGTGCGACCATGTTGCTGTGGGACAAATCTACTATTACCTACCCCTTCCTGGATTTCAAAGAAAAATTTCTGAATAACAATTATTTATCATTAAAGAGTAAATATTGAGCAGGTTTCCACTACAGACAATAAAAGATTTCATCCTGATTAAATGAAAAATTATGTAAGTTGCAACTTCACCTTCACTTGCTCCTTCTTGGAAGAGAGAACAAAACCCCAACCCAAAACCAGCCCTCTCCAGCAGTTTTGGTGCAGCTCTCCAGCAGATAGACACAGCCCTAGCCAGCGAGGAGCTGCCGAGGCTGAGGCGCAGGGGGGGGGGCTGGGGATGGGTGCCACACCCTGCGCCCCCCCTCCCCCGCTGCTCCTCCTCAAGGCTAAACCTGCCCACCGCAGCAGCGGGCTCCCATGGGATGAGCTCCTGATGCGCATCCGACGAGATCCTCGTCCTATGGGGAAGCCTTTGGGGAGAAAAGGCCATCAGCTGCACCACTAACAGAGGGATGTGACTGCAGGCAATTAGTAAGGGGAGAGGCCGGGGCTGTACTGTCTGATAAAACAGAACCAGTGTATTTTTAATGTTTCCCGATGTGTGTCATGTTCCCTGCTGCAGCAGGAAGGTCTACAGCATGCCAGCAGCTTAAGGAGCCTTCTCGTTCATGCAATGCCATAAGGAATAAACTTCCAGCAGCTCTTACTCCAATGCAGTGCTCTCAGGCTCTCCTCTTCTCCCCTGATTGCCATGCAGATCTCATCCTCACACTAGAGCTGAAACTTTCCAACCCAAGCAGACCAGCATAGCACTATTTGCCTATAGTCTATTATGCATGTACACACTCAGAGGTGCAGCAAGACCAGTGAATTTAACAGTATCAGTGATGCAGCATGATGATCTTGACCTTTTAATACTCTGTGAAAGGACTCTTCTCCATAGAATTAGAGAAAAAGCATACATTCAACTGCATCTGACCTTTACTGGTCCAAGCCTTATGTAGTTTGCTTATATTCTCATTTTTAATGGGATTTAATAATACTTGCTTTGTTTATACAAACCTTTCAGATTTCTATGGACAGAGACAATTGCTGACAACACCAAAAGTAAAACAAAAATGTATCACTCAGCTCACCAGGCTGTAAAAGAACAGATGTGCATGGGACACACCTAACCTAGAGCTTTTTTCTTTTTTTTTTTTTATTTTTAATTTTTTGGCAAGCGGGCCTCTGACTTGCAATCATTTTGACAGAAAAGACCTCTAACATTGTAAATAGTTTCCCTTCAACTTCGAAGCAACGTAGATGTTCAATGGAGAAAATAGTTTCCATCTCTGCCTCAAACAGGGGCACACGCCGGAGAACGGTAGTGAGAGTAACAACTGCCTTGACCAACTGACTTTCCTCTTCCAGTACAGCCCCAAGAGAAATTAAGTCAAGACAGCACAAGGCCAGACAGGGATAATTTGCCATTGCGATTTCCACAGGAGTGCAAGTTTTTAAGCTTCTTGCTATATGTGATGAAGTTTCGCCTTTGAATGAAAAATGGGACAACCGAAAAAGACCAAATCCCTTTCCACCGACCCGCCCCGGTCCTTCTGGCAGCCCAAGGGCGCGGGGCCGCACCCAGTATGCGGGAGCAGAGACGGACCCGCTCAGCCCTCACGCTGGTCGCACCCGCGGCTTCTCTATTCCCCTTTCCCCACAGACCTGGCCGAGACCGACACTTCCACGCCGCGCTCCGCGGGGCCAGGAGTAGGGATGGGGAAGAGAGAGGTTCCAGCATCCGGGCCGCGCTGCCGAGCACCTGGGAGCCCGCGCCGGGTCAGGCAGGCAGGCAGGCGCGATCCCTCCAGCGGGGCGGAGCGGGCAGCCCGGCCCGGCGGGCCCTCGCTGCCGGCCGGGAGGGGCCGGCGCGCTGCTGCCACTGCAGCGGTCCGGGGCTGCGATGTGCTCCGTGCATAACCACACCCACCGCATTGCAGAAGCCACGGCCCGGGGCGGGGAGGGGGGGGGTAGGGGGTAACCCCCCCATCGCGAGTAGCGCAGCCCCGGCCGGGCCCCTGCACCGCCCAGGTGGTGTGTCCCCCAGGTGAGCGGGGCACTGAGGAAGGCACGGCCCTAGGGGGGCTCGGGGTGCGCCCCACCACGCCGCACACCTCTCCCGCCCCCCTCCGCCGCCTACAGAAGTTTCCCACAGAAATGCGTATCATCCTAAAAAAAATTAAAATTGCAGTCGCCCTCCCACCCTCCGTGCCCCGGCAGAGCTGCGGCGGAGCAGCCGAGGCTGTGTGTGTCCCCGCAGAGCCCCCGCCGCTCTCCCCGCTCTGCGGGGCGCACCGCTCGCTGCCCGCCCGGCTCCCCCAGGCAGCCTGGCCGCACACACACGCCGCCCCCCCAGCTTAGAAATGGCTCCTAAGAATGATGTAAATATATATAGACATATATTTATATATATATATGTCTATATATACACACACACACATATACAAAAATAAATACGCATATATTATAAGAGGGGGGAGATGCAATCTACCCCCGCCCCCCCGGGCATACCCTCAGCTCCCCGCTGCGGGGAGGGCACCGCAGGCAGCGGGGCCGGAGCGGCGCGGAGGTTCCTCGGCCGCGGAGCGGAGCGGGGGCGGCGGGCGCGGGGCTGCTCCCGGCGCGGCGGCGGCCACGCGTCAGCAGCGGCAGCGCAGCCCGGCTCTGCCCAGAGCGAGCCTCCGCCGCTCCCCAGCAAATCAGGGCTGCCGAGGCTCCTCCGGAGAGAGGGAGGGAAAAAGAGGAAGGGAAAAAAAAAAAAAAAAAAAAAAAAAAAAAAAAAAAAAAAAAAAAAAAAAAAAAAAAAGAACTGCACGCAGGGGAGAGCGGCAAAAGCTGGATGCCAGCAGGTTTGTGGAGGCAGCCTTCCCGCCTGCCCTACTCCCTGAGCCACCGAAGGCTGCTCCCCGGGCACTGCATAAAGCCACTCCGGCAGCACAGGGATCCCCACCTGTGTCTGGAGGGATTCGGCCGGTTTTTGGCTCAGCTAAATGAATCCGTGTATTTAGGGAGATGAGTATAGCTTTAGCAGTTTCAGGCAAACCCCTGCGATTGAGAAGCTCCCTGTCAACTTAAAAGCAGCAAGCTGTGAGCTGGCAAGGTCTGGCTTTGAATTACATGTGGGGGTTTTGATGGGGGGCATGTTACCAGCCTTTTCAATTTTAATTTTCAGTGACAAACTACATGTTCTGAAAATATGAACCGTATTTCACTCAAGAAGATTGCCAAAATGTAAAAAAAAAAAAAAATAAAAGTCCTGTTGCACATCAGATCCTGATCCAAAAGGGATAATGTGAAACTGAAGAGGACTTTGAAGTTTGTGCTCCAGTACAGACCACAACATGCCACATGTCAGAAAGCATAAAAAATTTGTAGTGCATACAAAGGCATTTTGGGAGGGGATTAATCCTACTTGCACCATTCCAGTGTGGTAAATGCATAGCTCCTCTTAGAGCACAAAACTGACTTCTCCCCTCTAAACACATAGGAGTGGCTGTTGGGTTTGAGACTGCTGCAGCACCATGCTTAGAGGCACTGCTCATTTGCTTTCTGGGGGACCAGAAGCAGCTGAATATGCTCTTTTCTGTAGGAGGAATTGACCACAGGAAGGGCAGTGATGGCTTGGCTGCAGAGGAGTGACAGATCAACACACTCTGATGCTGCACTTTCAATCCTGGTACAGTGAATAACAAGAAATGGGGCTTGTTATTTTCTCTTTAGATAGGGCACTTAAAAAGCTCCGAAAACTTATGAGATCCAAATCATACTCAGGGTTTGACATGAATCAAGGGGAAAGGGAGAGACAGGGAATAGCTCTTTTAATTAGCAGCATCTCTGGGGGATTTAAGAAGAGGAGGTTTTGACAGTAGGCAGAAGCACACCATTTCTCAGACCTGCAAAACTGTGCTGTTCTGTATTTCACATGGAATTGTAGCCAGACACACACCGCCCTCTTCACCTGCTATGCAAGAGTGCTGTTGAGGAGATCTGGCACACCATAATGTGTCTGAGAAGGAAAGAGTTCAAAAGGAAAAAGCGGGCCATCAGCTAAGAGAAGGCTTACCTTTGGTCACGCAGTTGAAATAACAAGACTTGTATACTCTTTTCCACCAGGAGCTCTGGAAGCCATCACAAATCACAAGGGAATGGGCTTGACAGCTAAGACACACATTAGAGTTAACAAGATTTGATTTGAAAAAGAAAAAAAAAATGAGAGGAAAGTAGGAAAAGGACTGACTTGCTCTGAATCAGATTGAGTCTCAAAAGCAAACTAGGAGACTCAAGAAATGTTTGTGAAAAAAAAAATCAAGAATTTATCAGCTCAACCTTTGGCAGCTCTTGCACTGCCCATTACAGAGGAAGGCGCTGACATCACTTTTATGCAGACACATCACAGGAATATTAGTGCTCCCCAGCCATCCATGTCATCCTTGAGCAGTACTGCAGGCAGATTTACCCCACAGTTACACTATTCTCTGTGATCCCTTTTGTGGATATTCTGCATACATAATGGCATCTTTCATCTGAGGCTCTAGAAGGCTTCCAGCACATTGATTTAACCTCAAAGCATCAAGTGGTATTAACAGGCTGCTCCTATAAACAAGAAATCTTTGCAACAGATTAAAGGCAGCTGGTACCTCTGGGCTACCAATAGGGGCCAAAGTTTCAGTGCTGTCAACACTCACAGTATTCTTCTTTTTTAATTTTCAAATGTTAATTTCTAATTCCAAAGTGGGTTTGTTGCCCAACTTGTTATGACTTTTGTCAGAAGGAAGCTCCAAGGAAGTTAAGGTTTCCATGAATCAGCATTTTCATTTTTTTTTTCAGTAATTTATCACGAGCCTGAATCCATACTCTTCTTACACAGGTGGAAAATGTGAATAATCCCCCTGCACTTCACTTGAATTAAAGCAGTGTCTGTTTACACAAAAGGAAGACACCAGATGATGAATCCAGGTAGCATGAGAAGAGACCAGTCTCCTGCCTTGCTATACGACAATAATTTTATTTTTGCTATTTTCTTTTCTTTCTGGAAGTGGTGCTTCAGACCTAGATCTCAGGAGCAAATAGTTCCATTTGAGTTCCATTCATCTTAACTCCCAACACATCAGGCTTGGTGCAGCCCAAGGCAGTCCCTTCTCACCTCCACATAAGGCCCTGCTGGCAGCAAGTCATGCAGCCCTTGCTGCCTGCCATGGAGGAGCCTTTAACTCCTACATTGTCCTTATTTAAAAACAGCACAGTTTGGGTGGGATGCAGGATGCCACACACTGGCAGTCACTCTAAATGCACAGCCCTTGGACCCCCCACACCCTGCTGCTCTAGACATGAGCTCCCTGTGTGCCACTACCCACATACCTTCTCCTCTCCATTTCAGTGCCTGCAGAACACCTCTCCCAGCCTCCTCCTGTTACACCATCCCCTTTCCTCTTCTCATATCCAGTTTGGCCCATTCTCCCCCCTCTCTAGCACCATATAGCACCATACCTATTTGCCAGGGTTTTCCCAACCATCTATTCCTCCTCAGCCCTTACAAGAGTCATCTCTTCATCTTCCCTCCAAAGCAGTTTCCTTCCCCTCATACCATATGCCTTCCCTGTATTTTTTCCATTTTTTGTATTGAGATGGCAGGACCCAACTATATGAGCAAGAGTCAGTGTCACTCAAGAGAAAGACACACAGCTAATAAAAGGGGTAAAACAGGTGGAAAGTTCTGTCTTCCATTCTCTTCTCCATCCATCCACCCATTTTGCTGTTTCAGTTTCTCACCTTTGGTGAACACTTACAACTTGCTTGGGAAAGCCCTTCAAAGAGAGGAAGAAAAAGCCACGGAAGAATAATAGCAAACACAGCCTCTGACATGAAGCAGGTAAATTAGAGGGGGGGGAAGGAAAAGGTGCCAACACACACACACCCCCACACACCCCTTCCCCATGGGGTTCCACTCAGAGGAAAACAGTTGTAAGGAAAAGAGGCCTGTGCAAAGCATTTGGCCACTACAAGGACTTTTTTTATAAGGGAGAGGAATGGGGAAACACATGGTCTCTGCCAGGAAAAGTGAATAGGCAACCCTGGAAGAACAGGGACAAGGATTATTGCCCAGCTCTGGGAACTGATGCCTAAAACATTCTTGTGATTCCCTAATTGATTGGACATGGCATTCAAAATAGCACATAACAGAAAAGCAAAACACAAAAATGCTATCAAACTCAGCAAAAAGCCGTCTTAAGTCCAGCCAACGATGAATTAGCTGGGCATAGCACTTTGAAAAATGGCAAGCACTATAAAAGTACTAGCATTAACACAGCATTATTAAGAAGATACTTCTTAGCAGACAGGAGCTTGGCACTATCTGTCTAGACGGGCAGATGGGTTTGGAGTCTAACTGATTTTTTTCTTTTTTTTTTTTTTATTATTACCGTATTCACTTCCATTTATTAAAAGCAAACCATTCTGTCCATGACTCACATAGCTTAACTTTCTGCATGGCAGTGAAACAAATTTCTCATAATTAAGAATGATCACTGTGAAGAGATGAAGGTAAGATTTAGAAATCAAACCAATTTTTCTATTTTTGTCTTCACTCACTACAAACATAATGCCCAATAGTTGCCTTAAAATATGTCAGTAGTAAACCTTTAGATGAGCTATCCTTAAGCAGAACTCAGTGACACAGCAGGTTAGATTAATTCTTGACACTGGTTTACTGACAGAGAAGAGATTCATTTGGTCTGTTGCCTGTAACTCTCACTCTGCCAGTCACTGCCAAATCCACCCCATTTTAAGACTACTGGAGGAACAATAAGTAATTTTGGCCCCAGTGCTGTGCAACTGAAATCCTGCCCGTAGAAGATTTACTGCAATTAATTCAACATTGCCCTTTGCCACTTTCATATCTGTGGCTACTTTCTGACTGAAAGCATTAACAGGATTATCAAGGCTTACCTCCTGCTTCAGTTCTCCAGCCCCCATTATGAACCAAAGGTAGCCATATTTTATGGATACATGATGCTTTGGGATGTGCCTGAGTTATCTTTCAGAGAGAATAATAAACTGAAGCTTTGAATCAGTTAAGGTTTTAATTTTTTATTTATTTTGTTTATTCATAGTCATTAATAAGGTTTAACCGTAGTTTGATTCAATATACACTGACTACAGGAAACCAACAACACAATGTGCAGTCAGTACAAATTTATTTTCATTTCATTAGTGTTTCTGAACAGCCCAGCAATAAGGGAGGCAAGAACAACTTTCACTTTCCAGTAGCAACTTAGGACCACAAACTTCCCAGATGGGCAGCATCTCTATGGAGGTCAACACAGACTATTTTCCTTTACTAGGTTGCTTCCTTCATTCTTTTCCATACAATTACACCTAGTCTTGCACTTTAGTTATAATACTATTTTTAGCTCTTCTATATCTTTTCATCTAATTCAGGAAAGGATTTAAGCTGAAGTTTACCTAAGCATAAGCTAGAGTCTCACTGAGGCAAAGAAGAATCAATGCTCATATTTATGGACTACTATCAGAAATAGAAATGCCATCCTGAATCATAACCGTCTTCTACAAATCCCATGAGGAAGACGCCTCTTCCTTATGACACCTGTAATAAAATGGCTTGCAGTGGCCAG